ATGGGGGGGGCGGGTTTAGCAAAACAAAAAATTTTTTTTTGTTGGCAAAAAAATTTTTTTTTTTTTTTTTTTTTTTTTTTTTTTTTTAACTTGGCAAGGAAAGCCGGTGACACTTTATTAGATATACTTACATAATTTTTGAACTATATTACAACCTATAACTAGGCTATGTTAACCCCAACGCAGCGACCCGACATTTACCCGGCTGCCCAAATATATCCTTGTTCCACCACCAGCGCGCTATGGCCGAAACCAACACTTGCGTTCTATAATAGTCGCTTTAATCGTTAAACGAATTAGAATCGATTCTCATTGTCTTAAACAATGACAGATCGAAAAAATTAGAATTTGTGTTACTGGTAACACTTAATTACTCGTATTACAAACATTGTGCAAGTGCAAATAACCATAAATAGTTTATTACTTGCGTTTTATTTGATTTAGCCATTTAGCTCAATGCTGTATTTTACCTTTCATATTCTCGTTTTTCTTTTAAATTTTATTATCACTTTTGCTGCTTTTATTCCAAATGGAAGAAGTGGACATACCTCAGTCCTTATTGATAAGAAACTTTATTTTAGTGGTGGAGGTACAAATGAATTCTTTTACTTGGATGTTTCTAAACCATTCACAACAACTGATCATATCTCAATACCATGGATTGACCTTACTTATACTGGCGGTCCTTCGAAAGATTTGGCTACAGCGTGTATTGGTGGAAAAAATAATGATATGATTTTTATTTTTGGTGGTTATAACATTAGTAATCAATCATTCGTTAATCAATTTGATACAAGTAAACAGCAATGGACCAATATTGCATCTGTTGGAAGTACACCCACAAATAGATATGATATTGCATGTGCTAAATTTAACAATGGATTGATCGCTATTTTTAGTGGTTTTAATTATACTTCTACTATTATAAATGATCTTTGGATATTTAATACATTAACATTAGTATGGAGTTTAATTAATGCAACAAATGCACCTTCATCTCGGGGGGAGTTATTGTGCAATAATTTTGCCCGATAAAAATATTTTATATATTGGTGGATTTAATGACACTGCTGCCAACTCATATGCGCCGATGAATATTGTAAGTGTTGTCTTTAATAAAGGGATCTTTTAAGTTTTATTATTAATGATTTTGTAGTTATCATTATATAATACAAAATCCGATATATGGACAAATATGGTACGTATAAATGAATTAATTTGCCTTATTCTTAGTAGCTAACAATCTAAGTCTGCAATTTTATCAGAACATACCTGGCCCAACTCCTCCTGGTCGCAAATTTTTCTCGACAGTCTTGAGTATGTCGTTTAAAAACGTCAATAAATGTTTTAATATAAAATCTTCTCTTAATAATTTAAATTGAAAGCTTCCGACGGGCGTATTATAATTTTCGGTGGTGATGGTAATAACGGTAATAACGGAATAATTTACGGCGATCTATGGATTTTAGATATTGCAACATATCGATGGTCAATTGGAAACATTTTAAATCCCATTTTTGATCTAACTCTTTATGCGCATACCGCAACATTAGTGGATAATTACATGTTTGTTGCTTTTGGTAAAAATTTTAATCAATGTTATCAGAAATTGGCTTATGTTGAAATTTGAAATTATTTAAATATAAAATCTTAAAAGTTTGTGTATTTTTTTAGTTTTTATTTCAGACTAGAATTTAGGGTTAAATTTCAGCATTAGTCTCAATAGTTATTTATTCTGTTTGCATACAAAAAAAATTTCTATTTAATTTAATAACCTTTATTTGTTTAACAGGTCTATTTTCAAATTTTAGTTATGCTAAATATTAGTCAAAAGGATTCCTATAAATGGGTTACTGAATTTACTCCAAATATTAACGTTAAGACCACTACAACTACTACCATTCCAAGTAATTCGTTTCCAAGCAATACAAACATCTCAGACCCTAAAAACACAGGCTTAGTTATTGGAGCCATTGTTGGCAGTATCATTTCTTTAATAATATTCGTGATTGCTATTATTTTAACTCTAAAATTTATTGATCAATATAAGTAAGTAATAACGCGCAGGGTGAAACTTCGAATTTCAACTTAAATTAAGCCTAATCCAGGCTATTATTCTAAATAAAGCCCATGACCGTTATTTCGTGACAATACGGTGCATGATCATGTGGCGGCTTCGCCGCCAACTAATAATTAGATATAGCAGTATATGGTATTATTGTAACATGGCACTAGGGTTGTCAAATTACCGTAATTTTACGTAATTTTGTGAAATTTTGCGTAAATTTTCAGTAAATTTTCAGTAACATGGTTTTCATGTAATTTGTAAGAAACGTGATCATATGCTCATATGATTGGTTGAATCATATGTACATCGATTTGGTCAGTGAACTTTATGCAGTATCTACTGTAGTTCAATAATGCTAGCTGAGTTTTTCATAGTGCCAGTACGTGTGAAATTTACATGAAATTCAAGTTACTGAAATTTACGCAAAATTACATGAAATGTAAAATTGTAAATTTTGTAATACAACCCTACATGGCACTGACAATTTTATAATACATGATTAATTGAAATTAAAAAATATAAATAAAATGGTGTTCTATTTTTTTTTTTTTGTAGTTCTTGGCTTTGCTTGAGCTTTACATTTTTTATGCTTTGGCCTCGCTTCGCTCGACTGAGTTTAGACTCTGAATTTTTCACCATACTTCAAAACAGTTTATAAGTTGTTAAAGTTTTAATCAAAATTAACAATAATATGAATGCAATTTAAGCATGGATACTAGAACTTATACATACGGGAGGCATTGCCATCCAGTTTTTACTAATAATTAGAAAACTAAGTGAAGCACTAGGACAATATTTTATTTGATTAAAATTAAAACTTCATTAAAATTCTCTCTCATTAATAAAATAGTGCACAAATACATAAGGCTAGTTTTACAAATAACTAATGCAATAACTTTCGCCCTCATTTCAAGCTCAGTTTTACATATATGGTAAAGATCTGGCAAAATTAAGTAATGTTAATTAAACGCTTACGTACGTACGATGTTTAAAAGCATAAATTAAGTTGTATAATACAAATTAATTTTTGAAATTAACATTGGAGTAGAAATTATGTAAACTGTATCTACAATCCGAAAAAAGTAATTTAAAAACTTAGTTTTAATTAAGAAATTATTTAATTATCGGTATGTTTCAGTTAAGACAATTTAGTAGAATTTTATATCCCAATAAAATTAAAAAACATGTAAAATAATATATATATGCAGCTATTAAGTATTGTGCATAGCGTACAAGTATAATTTTTTTTCAGCGGCTTTTTCTGCCTTCTTGTTGTTATATTCTAATTAATTAGATATTAATACAAATTTAATCATGTTTTTTCACCAGATTCAGAGTCACGATTCTTTGTCATGATTTGAAGATGGCTAAAGATTGGTGTGACATATAATTTCAAATATTTAATCAATGTTAGAATTAAGCAAGGATTATATGCAAAATTATCTTCCCAGCATTCTTTTTAACACCTTGAGAAGGTCGACTAAAGTAAATAAGAAAACACACTTGACATTAGTCTGTGCATATTGTAAATTTTAATTGCTAATTGGTCAACAGCATATAAAAGATAACATGTAGAAAAATTGTGTTCATTCCAATTATTGTGGCAGCTTATGCTGAATTTCTTATGTTAAAATTTGTAGGCTTTATTTCAACATATAATATCTACCAAAATTTACATATATTCTTTATTAACAAATCCATACATAACCCTTAAAACAAAAGCTGACAAAAAAGGCCCGAAGAATCTCTTCTTTCCTTTTTTTTCTCCTGTCGTCAAAGCATCTAGGATTGTCATGAGACGCTGTTTATTCATGTATTAAATCACGGATATTAGACATTTTTTTTATGCTACAAATGAGTGTTGCGAAAGAAACTTACAACTCTAAAAATAGATTATTATGAAAATCATATTAATCTATTTTTAGAATTGTAGGTTTCTTTTGACAACACCCAAATACAGTATAAGGTATGAACGCAAAGTTGCGGCATTGTTATTGATAATTAGCATTGTAATTATTAATCACTTGGATTAATTTCTAATAGTTTATTTAAATTTGTGAGAAATTTGTTTATGTTCTTTAAACATGACTTTAAAGCTTAGTTCTGTAGTTCAAACTCAATCAATAGATTTAACGCTTTGAGAGATCATTCGTACCGTCCTAACATTTGATAGCCATTACTAGGTGCGAATATCTTATTTGAATCAATTTTAATAACCTATTTATACCTTTGAGCGATTCTTAATATCTACATAACATAGATATTGGCGCGATTAAGTGCGAAAGAGTTATTTGGTTTAATATTCTATCTAAATCTGTGGGTGGTACTAACATCAACAAAAGCCAACACATCATTCAGATTAATATTTGATAATTTATTGCGACTTTTCATATTGATCCATCTGCCTATAGATATATTCGTATATATTTAAGTGTAAATTATATAATTCTTTAGGTATACACTCAAATGAAGAAGCAGTAAACCATAAAAATCATTTTTCCTAATAACATTACATGATTTTTGGACCCACAGATTTGAGAGTTATAATAGCCTTGAAATAGTCTTATATTAAAGCACGTAATATATGCGTATTTTATTGAATACGTAGCAGGCAATAAAATTCTTATATTGAGTTTTTTTATAAAACAAGAATTTTTAAAAGTAAAAATTATAATTAATTATTATTAAATATAACTAGCAGAAGCGTCTGGTACTTTTGCTTTTCTTGGTCAACCAGTCCAAAGTGATGTCAAGATTTACTTGATTTTTTGCCGAAAACGAATAGCAACAAACTTCACGATTAGTGATGGATTTTAAATTCCTAATTATTGAAAAAAAATTTTAAATTTTGTATAACTATGACAATATTTGGGAAATTTTAGCACATACATTTCATCAATAATATTCTCGACGGGTAAAGCTTCTGGTAAATCGTTTTTATTACCCAAGACTAAGACTGGAATGCTTGCGAGTGGTGGCTTTTCCAGAAGGTTACGTAATTCAGTTCGTGCAGCTCCCAATTTCTCATGATCGGCGGAATCAATTACGAATCTTTTCACAAAACATTATCATTATTTTCTTCTTTTTATTTAATTTATTACTAGACCATAGATTCATGGAGTGGAAGGCTACTTACACTATTGCATTTACGCCCTGGCAATACTGTTCCCACATACTACGAAAACGTGGTTGTCCACCTACATCCCATATTTTCATATTAATATATCTCATAGTGGCTTTACGCATTCTAGGTTCTATAGTAGGAGTCATATCTTCATTAAATTGACCAGACTATGCGTTTACATATTATTGTTAGTGATATTTTCTATGTAACATAACTTCAATAAAGTTAATACATACAACAATTATATTAACTAAAGCCGTCTTGCCACTATTTTGCAGACCGACTAAAGTAAATGTAAGTTCTTTCTATTTCGAAGCTTGCAAATTTAAGTATAATCGAACATGTTTTTTTCATGGTAAGAAATAAACGTAATCTGTTAAAACAATTGAGTTATACTCAACCTTGAAGAACAAGTTTCTGAACCAATCCAAAAATGACCTTAAGAAGCTTTTTAACCAATCAAAAAATGTAAATGACGGCATAACGATAAATTTATTTTCATATTAATTTTTAGTTTTGTATCATTATCATTATTAAATAAAAAAAGTCATAAAATCATGCAAAAAAAGTGCTTGGTTGTGTGTAGGATCCGGAATAGGTCGCGCATACCCGGATATTTATTAACCGGGCCGGGCTTGGGTTTGTTTTGGGCTTTTATTTTTAAGCACAATATTTGGTGGACCATGCTTAGGTTATGCTCATTAAACACTAGGTTGGGCTTGGTCTTTTAGAAAATATTTATGCATAGACAAATAAATTTAGATAAGCCGAAATGACAAATATTGCATATCATCAATGATTTAATTTTCTTTCATCTCTATAAACTAGAAATTGCAAATTTGGCTGCTTCGCAGCTCAGATTAAATTACAGTTGTTCTCATAAATTCTGGAAAAATCAAAATTTTGTTTGTTACACGAAATCTTTTCGGTTTCGTCTTGTAAATTATTCAACTCTGAAAACTACATTGCTATCTCCGGACCGAAAGTTCGAAGATAGCAGAAAGTTAGGTAATTTACAGGACGAAACTTAAAAGGTTTTGGGTAAAGTACAAAATTTTAATTTGTCCCAGAATTTATAAGAAGCTGTAATAATTAAATATAGCTTGCGAGTAATAAATAATATTGAAATTATTATTTATTGATAATTTAGTGTTTATTTAATCTGGTATATCAAATTTAAATATTTAAAATTTTTTTATTGAAAATAGAAGAATTCAGCATTTAACATATAAAAACTAGTACTGTTATTACAGTGTGTATTCCTTTGTGTAAGTCGTAAGTTTGTTTTAGGTAATCTTTTGCCCCCATTTTTTAAGTTTCTTCCACGTAGTGCCTGTAATTCGACATTTTCAAATTCCTCCTATTTAACTTAGTGAAGCAATACCAAATCTCATATATTACATTTATATGTATCCATACTACGATTTTTGATTCTGTTGTTTACGGTAACTATT